TTGATATCCAAAGGTGATGATATATCATATATTATCATGTTTAGTTCCATTGCCCAAACGCACTCGTCTGACCTGGTGCATTGATAACGGATCGATGATTCGACTGGCTTTAGAAGAACTCGTCCAAGTACGTGTATGATACATACATCAATAAATCAATTGTGGCAATCTATTTTTGCACGTACAGACACCTGCAAATGCATACAAATACTCATTGTTCAGTTGTTGTGTCTTATTGTGAATGTATCAGTAATTTATGACTCTATATACTTGCATTCATTTATCTGCGGACTCCCTCGTCACCTTACTACTTACGCAAAGACGATAGTTTCATAGACTTTTTCCAGTTACTGTAGGGTATCACAGCCTGCCTACTCGACGTTTGTTCTCCTCTGTCAATTTCGTCTTAAGAACTGGTATTTTTTCTTGTTTGCTTACCATCAAGTTATTCCTTACTCAATTTGATTAAGCTGGACTAGGCAGCATGATTTTTCGGAACGCGATTTTATCGTCGGAGCTCAACTTTTAAGTTCATTCATACATAGCTAGTATTTGTAAAGTTCTTAATATTGCGCTTGATGGAGTAATCACGCTCAAGTAACTGTTAGCTACGCGAACAGTATCCGTTCATGCTTCTTTACCGATCAGAGAACGCGTCACTACATAAAAGTGAATGCTTGATCATTATGAACTAGTTTTCTACCTGAGAGTCCCACAGGTATCGCAATTAGATGATGCTCCGTGGCGCAAAAGGGCCAGCCTTTGGAAAGGCTGCGAAATAGGCTTTGTACGAATCTAAAGATTAAAGAGATCTATGTAACGGCAAATTAGAACTCTTGTGCAGAAGCATTTAGGTGGTCAAGTGTGACTGGGTAATCATCGAACAACGCTGTCTGTGATTGTCACAACCATTAAACCCCTTGGTGTATGGATAATGCTATAAAGGTGGGTTAACAAAAATACAGTAAAGTTATAATACAGCTGATCTCAAATAAAAAGAAACTATAATTATGTTATTAAACAAATATCAATAAAAAATGATTTTTAAGTAATATTTTAAACTTGTGTTTCTTCACTCAAGCACGACACAATACTTCTCGCAGCACAAGTTCAACAAAGCAAACACCTCTTAAAGAGCTGCTTAGTTACCGCGTTTCCTAAAAATGTACATGGAAAAGTACCTGCTGTATGGGCTAATGAGCAGTGTTAATAGAATTTATCGACAATTACGAGCACCCGAGAGGGTCAAAGCCATTGCTTGGCATCTTCGTAACGGAATTTTACGGTATACAAGGCTCTGTCCCCTTGTGATAGTCCATTGTGCAAAGTTTGCCTGCTAGTGATTTGTAAAATAAAAAGTAGATATTCATAGTTTACGTAGATACGGCGTGGGTTCCCGCCAATTAGCCCTTTTCAAACAAATAGATAAATCTATTTTAAGGAAAACTTATCAATATAAAGAGCTTTGCTTTCGTCTAATTGTGCTAACTCTTGCACCGACTCCCTTAGCCGCTCGGGCATGACATGAAAACATTTAGACAATTATAGATAAACTGATTAAAATAAATTCTCTTATACCCTTCTTGGCATAAGAGGTACGCGCATGCCCTTTATAACACGAAACGTAGCTCTGACGGGATACTTTGCTCTCTGCCTTTAACATTTATATTTAATGTTCCTGTCGAATTTGGTTCATCTCGCATGAACGTATTCTAAGTAGAAAAAGACGGGGAACATACTATGGAAATTGTTAACAAGGTCGGCGCTTACCATTATCGCTGCTTATGGGTTTCTAGCAGTCTCACCATCAGTGGTAAGGTCGTGACTGGAGTAAGGCACTTAAGTTGTTGAAAAAGCTAACACTGTCGTTGTCTCGTTTAGACTTTCGCTATTTTCATGGAGCTCTACATCCATGACACCGACAGAGATGTATGTCGATTCAATTCGAAGCTCTCAAACTGAAATAAAAGATGGTTGTTTGTTAAATAGAGATTACTGTTGCTACAACTGTTTTTATTTACGTCTCTTCAACGTAACTGATTCCAGTTCCAGAGTGGTTCTGCAACCGAGAATCTTTTGTTTGCATTAGAACGATTACCTGAAAGGACTCAAATATATCGCTAGCGAAAAAGGCCAACATTATTAAGCTAACACACGTGAACTGGTAAATACGTTGATTTATCAACGGCTTTATAACGGAACCATTAGGACAAAAGTAGACATATTTTTCAAGCAAATTGATGGATTAATAATGCAGCGTTGTACAACACTATCAAGTGACCAGCGCACCTTGTTCTTGGAAGGCTGAAACTTTTGATCCTGAGTACGACCGCAAACGTTCGAATAGCTTGCGTATTCAAACTGCATTGTCGATAGGTGACCTCTAACGGTACTAACACTCATCGGACATAACTACGTGGTAAATTTCATAAAAGATATGAAGACAACGACAGAAGCCCCACACCCGCTACGTGAGCTAGTGACAGGCCATGTGAGCCTGTGTAGCTTTCTGAGGTAATTCCACTTCATGAATGTTTTCACCATGACCACCATGGTTCAAGCATATAACAATACTATTAAGTTCCATTGATATTCGTACGTTCGTATTTCTAGCGAAAACATAATGTACGCCGACACTATACATTAAGATGAGATAGCGTAGTCCACTTTACATACTGTTGGTCTTTCGTCTCGACCACATGCTTACCGATTTTTCCTTTAAATAGGAATATTGAGAATAATACAGGTGATACACATCGTTACCACTTTAGCCATAAGCTACTTTAGTACTAGTATTGGCTGATGGTTTATGATGCTCAATTTCACCGACGCAGCGAACGTAGCATTGATGTGAGAGGGTTCAATACTATTCTTCACGAAGTCTCACAGAAACAAAACACCGAACAATCGGTGACCTTCGACGTTTTTGACCGGTGCTCTGCCGCAGCCTTGGAAAGTACAAAAGTCTTTCTCTGCCCCTTACGCCTGCTCGAAAACTTTCGGAAAGCTTGACAAATGCAAATAGGGTTAAGACGATTCGATAGTATACTTATGCAGAACGCACTGCTCGGTTATTTGAGGTTCTTCTCAGTATAATATATGACCTATATTCGAGCCGAGCATCTCAGAGTCGATGCCGTAAGATAAAGGAGAGACGTGAAATGGTTATGCAGTTAAGAAGTGCATTGATCGGCTATGAACCGCGGAAGTCTGGTGAAGACAAACATACAGAAGAAAACAGGTGAGCTGTAATGAACGAAAAATTAAGTAAATTAACCCTAATTTGAGTTATGTTAGACATTTTATAGACAATATCAATACTAACTTTACAATAGGTTATTAGGGCATTGATGTACTACTGGGTACTAAGCAGAAAGAAAAGCGCTACCAAAATCACAAATCAGATGTCTTCTACCAGTAAAGCTTCCTTACAGACAGAGGAGCCGCAAGACTAGTGACGAGACTGACCACAAGGGACTTTGACTAAAATCCGAAACGTTATAAAGACTGTGATTAGGCTCTATTACTTTTTTTTCCTATTTGTAGTGGTACCAATTTCCTAAATTAGAGTGTAACATTTCTCTGACAGAATAATCTCAAAGTTTGAACATTAATTTAAGGGATAGTTTAATAATAAGTGATGTCTACGTTCATCGTAATCTCGTCTTCGCGAAGTTCAATGTATTACAATGTGTTTTGTGTTTGTGCTTATGCAAATAGAAAGGCATTATATCAAGAAGTGTTGTTTACCCCGAATGAATTGTCCAGACAAACTGTGCTACCTTATGCTTTCCGTAAAGTTCTAATACTTAGCACTTTCTAAAGAGAGAAGGGACACCACCATGATGCGATTATTCAATACGGATCTCAACGGGACCAAAAAGAAACGAATGTATTAATCACTCTATGATCAAATATCACTAGAACTTTCTAATTTTGCTCATGAAACAAGTTAACCATACCGATATATTATTATTACTATCCAAAAACAAGTTACTCGTAGTTTCTTAGAGGTTCTTACAGTTAGCCCTCCAAGCGTTATGTATTCCTCCAAGGTACTCCTTGTTTCTAATGCGATCCTTCGGCACGACCTTTATTAAGTTCTGACAAATGAATAGCAGTACCTTCCCAGTCATATAGATAACTGTATAACAAAACTACCTTATTATAAGGAAGATTCGTCTATTACCCTAAAATCACACACGCATCGTGGCGTCAGCGTTGGCACTCGCCTGAATACTGATTTCTCCCTTGTCGTACGTGAATAAGGTGCGTATGTATCTAAAACTTATTTTTTTTTTGTCTGTACTACTTTATACTTTCCTGCGTATTATCAGCATACGGTGTTACAAGGGGATCTTTCTTAAAACCTATCATATTCAGATGCTTCAGTTACATGTACTATGCACAGTGTTCTCTAAGAGTTTTTGATTTTTCCATAAAAACTAGCCATTTGATATACGTCCTTATATCAAACAGAGCGATTTGACTTCCCGCTGCCTAAAACTGACTTTTATCGGATAACAAACAAACTAATCACTAGGAGCTGCTATAACAGTCTGTTTTTGAGCTCTTTAAGTTATAGCTCTTAGTAATGCTGAGATGAAAATCAAGTAAGTTAATTCGTTTTCATTTAATCTACATCGAGAATAAAAGTTAATAATTAAAATAACATCCAAAACGAGATCAGTGTCTCGAAAACTATTAGTTACAAATGTAATAACTTCAGCATTGTTAGAGTTTTTATCATTTTCATCATAATACATAACAAGACAGGTCAGACTTTTCTCTTAGTGCCGTCAGGGCTATTAAGTCCCACTTGAATGAGGAAATGAGAATCGAGATGATAATTATGAGGTTTCTGTTTTGCATTTACTTGCGCAATTCAGTCAATGTGCATCTCGTGAACCCTCCACATAGAGCAAAACAGGCCTTATTAATAAAAACTATGTGAGCTAAATTTTACAGGCACCCTATCATAAGGACAAGATCCGCACACATTTAAAAGGACCAGTTTAAAAAATGACTAAACAATCTTTATTAGGGATTAAAAGACAATGTCTTAAAATGAACATAGATTTGATCAACTTTATGTATTGGGTTGTTTCTGATTATAGCACGGAACAGGAGGCAGTTAGTAACTTCAAGCCGGGAACAATTTCCTTGTTCAGAGTTGCTAAATTGCTTGTTGTTCAGAATTGCTGAACAGGCTCGTTGCAAAAAACTGGTAAGTCTGAACGTTACACGCTGCAATTAACATTCAGATCTTCCAAAGCAGTATCTTGATCTCTAACACCAAGCGATGGTGCCATCCGATTGATAAGCTGAACCGGTAAATTAGAAAGAATACAGCTTTATCGCGTGCCTTTATGTACCAAATAACACATTACTACCCACTAGTTATTCCCTTTGTAGCTGTACAAAGCAAACGTTGCTAAATAAGTAGCTAGAAATAAGTTAAAATCATATAATCTATGAACTATGATAAAGAGCATATAAACGGCACATGTAAGCTATTACAGAGCATCATGAAATACTAAATAGACATCATATATATTATTGCAATACTATTACTATTGATATATAAATTACAAACCTCGAAATTTTACTCACTACATATTATGTAGTTTGATGAAATCTTTCCTTTAAAGTCGGCAATCACAGCTAGTGACGTTGTTAAAAAAAAGTTTACAATCGTCACAAGTTTACAATGGATAAGGGCTGTGGCCTTAGCAAATGCCACCGTAGGCTTTTTACTAACGTCTGTAAAGCGAGCCATAACAGTATCAGATTCAATCTTGGAATAGCGGCAGGTTTTCAGGTCCGTTTCACTGCTTTCAGGGAAATCTTACTTAGGACTTCAAGATAGATTTGCTTGCTACTTCTGGTAGCAGATCCTCGGGCTTGGAAGGTTCTTCTACCAAACTGCCGACTCTTTTTTGCCGAAATCATTTTTAATTCCAGGAAAATCTTGTTCGGTTGTAATTTTTCAAAATTACTCTTGTAATTGCATTGTTAGAACAGTTGCCCTTGCAACGTGTAGTCGATATCACCTTAGTTTGTTCCAGAAACAGCTTATTATTATTATCGTCATCTCCTGATCCGTCAGTTATGGTATCATTGAAAGGAGTGGTTGGGCAGGTGATCATGGTATCACACTTGGCCGTGCAGGGGTCAACGCACGTCTGTAATTCATTACTGAAGTGCTTACCGTGTCTGCACCTCAACTTCGCTTGAAACCATAAAGAGCATTTATAGAATCTGCAAGAAAAAAAAAAAGCACATTTAGAATTCAGCTGTTTCAAGTAATACCATTATACCGAATCAGTGAAGGTAATTTACTAATAAGTAAGAAAAAAATGCAACTAACAACTTAGGAAAAAATTGTGAGGCACTTACTTATTTTACTATTGATCTTATTAAGAAAATTACGAGAAATTTACGCTGAATTTGCCAACTTTGTTTATTTTAGCTGAAAAATCTACCTACTATGCAAGTGTGTAGATATTTCGTTTGACTCCTCTGGGAATTTGGTGGGTAAATCGCTACCCGTTTTATGCCCTTTGCGTATATATATATATATAATGAGCTAGATGAGTCTGGGAAGGCTGAGTGTTGTGACAAGTTTCTCGTTGTGGTTGATTACTTCGGGCTGAGTTGGCTGCATGGTGGTAACGTTTTTCTTACACCGAATCCATTAACAGAATACAATTGAATACGGCTCACAACATGGCTATAGTACTTACCCTATATTTCAAATGAAGTAAAAGAAGGAGATTTATGGAAAAACAAACATATATTGCTTGAAGCGATAACTAGTTATTTTTATCGAGACAATTCTTCAGTACAAAATGCTTTCTGACGCCAATTACTGCAAAGAGGTAGTGATCTTATATGTCTAATCTGTAATTACTGCCTTAGTCATAGTGGACATTCATCCATATACTTACAAGGTACAGTGGTTAGGATCACCAACGTTCTTTCTAAGTGAGCCATCTGAAAGGGACGTTTGACAGAACCTACGTACATCTTCGCCTCCAATAATAGTGAGCGCGGGAGAGAGGGCCGCCATCGAAAGGACGAGAAGGACATAGGCGTTCATATGCTTCATGGCTTGACGTTCCCTACAGAAAAGTAAGCGCTCACAGCTAGCTACCAAACGACCAGTTTCGACCACAGTGTCAATCGCCTTGTCCTGTACTCGTACTACAACGTATAGAAGAGGATCACGAATGCTGTTAGAAATGCCGACAACTCCTTTTATAGCAGGTCGTTTTATTAGGGATAATCTCTAGTAATAAATGAGAAAAAGGACTCCGTCAGCTCCCTTGTCGGCGGCGACGACGACGACGACGACGACGACGACGACGACTACGACTACGACTATTTGCGTAGGCTTGAAAATAATACAATACTACCTAAATAGTCTGGTGGGAAATGACGGCCATAAAAGTAGATGAGCGAGAAACAACTGTCGGTCTTCGTCGTTGACGTCGCTATAGGTATTTTGGCCTGTCTGCGAATTTTTAACCACTCGTTTTTAGGCAGCTTATACAATAGAAACATGAACACCATTGGTGGTTATAGCTTATTGAATAGCAGCAAAAGTAACCTAATTATCTCAGAGTTACGTTTCTGTAAGCAGTATATGGATATCTTTTGACTTTGCTTTATGTGCAAGGATAGGTATATTTGAAATGAAAGATATAATCGCGTTCATTACTGCTGCTTAGTCTTACATTGTGAAACGTGTTCACGTATACCTGTTTTATTGAAAATCTACGTGCTTTACAAATTTCTTCCTAGATATTTAAGGACGATATTACAGAGATTATTTGATATATTAATATTATTATGGTGATAGTTTTTACTCAGCTCGTATGTGCCAAACGGCTGTCGAAACTATTGAGTACGCAAGTCAGAATGTTAACAACTTTCATCAGTCTCACAGTTGAGTACTAGCCCGCTCGGGTCTTGAAGCCTTTTTTAATGGGCACCAAAAAATCTGGAAGTAAAAAAACATCGATCGTCCTAGATGCTATAGGCGGCCGCTGTAGGCAATGAAAGAGCGAAGTGATCCACTTTGGTTATATGGATTTTGAATTATGATAACTAATACCAGCTATGCACAATATAAAGATTGTGCTACAAATCACAACGTGCGCTAATACTAAGCAACTGAGATGACGGCCTCGAAATTACCTTAAAAACATAAAAAAATCGATAACATTTTTACTAGTATTCGATCTGATTGCTAAAATTGTCACAGGTATGTCTGTTAGAACGCACGTATGACCTCCTAGGTTAGCTAAAACGAAATTGGTTAACATGATAGTTCTGTATGTAGATACGTAACGTGATATTAGAAATATTTAAATTAATTTCCTGTTGCCAAGTGGCTTTTGTCGATACGACTGGCAATAGTCCTTACTGTCCGCTACCTTGTCATACAAATCAAACGGTAATTTTTGGCCCATCCAGCATATAGAGTATTTTTTATGTATAACTCTATTATATTAGAGATTGTCGAACTTTGATTTTATTAAAATAAAAGAAATTGAGATAGCCAAACCGCAAAATATTAATTTTTGTGTTCATTTTTCATCTGGTATCGTACCAGCTAAAATGATACAAAAAAACTGGACAACGTTTGTAAGTCGCATCGAAAATGGCTGTAGTATCCCGTTTTTCTCATTTTTTCAAGAATGTTTGCAGTGTTCTTGATCTTAGCGACGGCTCTCAGCAGGCCGTATGCTACAAAACGCATGTAGCATATAGCCCATAGTGAGCCTAACTTGGTCGAGGCGAAAGGAACCGTTTCGTACTAAGATTAGGCTCCTATTTAGAACACGCTTGTATTTGTACCTGAGCAGCACGTCATGTAGTAATGTGTGTAATACATGTGCTGGTGGTACATTTAGATCGTACGAGTGGAAACACATCACGGAAGCGTAGATAATGCCAAAAACGGACATGAAAAGAACGCTAGTATTTATAGTTGGCGATAGAGAGTCGCAGCTGTATTGCAACTTATCCGTGAGCGATGAACGACCTCCGTAGACTATTATTGAATCCAGGATTAGTTAGTGTTTTGTCCGTCGCTTGAATGACTGCACTGACCCATCTGCTTTGGTTGTTTTGACGTCTATTTTTGAGGCAATATCTATTTACAGATTCACACACGAGTTACGTTCGAAAGCATTAAACGTCGTTGACCATCGTTCATTACGGTGCATTTTTTTCGAATTTTTCCCATGCGATAATTTGACTGTAGAAACCATCTGACACCGTTAACAGATAGACACTCTTCGTCCTCCAAGCTGCTTTTACACTCATCGATCGGCTCGATTCGTTTAGAGCTGTAACGCGTTTGACGTAACCGGCCGATGTATGGCAGTGCTGCAATGTCTCTACGGAAGGCTATCCCGTAACATTGTGATACGCTTCCTATAGGCAAGCAAGGGGCATAATCCGAGATTTGACCAGCATTCGGATGCTTCTCGAGCCTCTTTCTTTTATTTTGACTGTTCTGCACTCCACCTCTGCGATAAGTGTCCTTTCAACAACAGAAGCAGCTGCCTTATGGGCATGAAACAGTTGTATCTTCGCCCAGTATTAATTTTCTTCTTAGCGACCGGTGCATTCACTGACGTCGAACGGAAAAGACGTTTCCCGAAGGGCCGTCGTCCAGCGGAAAGTGTCTGTACTCGGGAAAAGAAGCAGACTTTCCTTTTATCTCCTATCTAATCTCTGCTCAAAAGCCTTTACAATCGAAAGGGTTCTGTGGAATGCCTGAGCGCTGTACGCAATAGAATGTCGGTTGGCATTTGTAGAGCTAGAGTGAAAGTGGTGATAGAATGAACGCAAGCGAGCGAGAGTGAAAAGAGGGCTTTCGGGCGGAAAATTGCTTTTGAAGGAAATGCCTTGCGGTCCACATAGACGTAGGTTAGTCCGCATCATTACAGAATATGTTAAATCTAGATTTCATTGTCACACTGGTTCTGCTGTTACTGTTGCTATGGGGTAATAAATGAGCAGCATCCGCCATAACGGGTTAAAATGAACGTGGCAATAATCTCTGGGCCCGTTTAGAAGACTCGTTACCTATATCATTAAGATGAAAAATGTCGCTTTAGTAACGAATTGGGTCGTTTCCAAAAGGTCAGCCTGAGGTGGGTTAATATTGAGCGGAAGGTTAGGGGAAAAGCTGAGTACGCAGGACTTGATTGGGACTCGGTACACCTGTAAAACAAGCTATACGCAGTTTTTGTGTCATTAACGAGAGAGGCCCTCTCACTCAGAGATTTGCTTCAGAACCAGCGTGCTACACAGAGCACATCTGAAAGCCGACTGGCATCTGGCCACGATTCTCCCATTTATGCTGCGTACGTTGTAAATTCGGTAACCAAAATGTCAGTTGTCTGCTGTGTGGACTCTGCATTAAACCTGCTCAAATACATTTGCTTGCTTACGCACTTATACAGATTACTTACAACGAGCATTGATATGGTACGAATTGTTCTGTCTCTGAAGATTAATAAAATAATTATTTTATACTCTATATTTCGATTACGTGTTGAAACCTTTCGTGAAGCTTTCGTTTGTTGGCAAGGTCTGAATGGCGACAATGGATGAACTTGAGCTTGGTAGATAAACTGCGTATTCTAGTTCTTATCTCACGCACTAGCCCTATATATTGTGATATACTCGTGTATCGTTAGTCAGCTGACAAATCTTAGGCTTATAGTATAATATTGCTTTAGTAAAATACCAATAGAATTTATTGAATATGCGTCTTTTTAGTTGGCCACTTTTTTTTAACAATGCTTTTTGGACGCGTAGTTCCTGTCCTGAGTAAGCATCTTCTATTTCGATGGCAAATTTTCGACAATTCATTTACCACCCCATATAGTGCTACGGTACGCGCTCAGAGTGTATTATCACCTATTGGTACAACAATGTTGTTCTTCTGAATGTAACGCTATAGATGATATGTTATTTTAGTTTGTATGTTTGAATATTTGGACCACGAAAAATCTAAACACGCCCCAGTAAGCTTCACTAACCTCACACAAATAAGGAAAAAAAATCATTCTATTTATGTGCAGAACGCGTATGAAAAGTAAACAAGAGGCTCGAAGACAACTAGAGTCGGGTGTACTTGATTTCAGATCACGTATTCGCTGTGTGTGTTTTTTTTTTTTATTAGAGATAAAATTCGAAAAGATATTGGGCTAAATTGTCGGTTAACATAAGACGAGGCTAAATATGCCGTTTTTGATGCTTCATAGTATTTTTTTTTTATTCATAGGAGCTTTTCTGTAGATGTCTATGATCATTCTTACAACAAATTCGTTGCTTGCTGTTATGGTAAACCCAAGTACCTTTTTTTCCTCGTCATGAGTTCAGTTACTTAGCCCATCTCCTGGGTCGCCTGTTGACAGTGCACAATAGTTTAATAGTCTATCCTAGCACAGAACATAATAATAACATTTCCAGACGCAGTTTACTTGTAGACTTGAGTCCTTGGCACCAACTCTTTTACCAAGATGTGCGCTGATGTGTGATGGCTAAAAACATGTATGCAAGTAGCTTGGAGATTAAATGAGCGGTATAAAATACATAGGCAAGATAATAATTATTATCATTATACAGTATCAAAATTAAATAATCATCACCAGCTCACTTGTGCGGTGACAGGCAGTACTACCACACCCGCCTGCTTTTACATATGAACACTGAGGTTTATCTAGCGCTACCCAATGTTACGCTACTTGATTATTTTGGCCTAATTCGAATTCAGGCGTAAACCGCGACCCTGATCTCGAACTACGTACAGCAGTTCCGTCACCCTGTTCAATTACGTTCCACTGCTTCTTTGTGGTTACGTAGCTATTTTGTTGTAGCTCCGTATTACTTTTCTGAAAACAAATTGTTCTGCTTTAGCCAATTCAGTGCTTTGGTGCGTTACTCCATAACAATATTTCTTCGTTCTCTCCTATCGCTTCAGCCTTCACCTCTCACCCTGCTCGGATTGTTTTTTTTGCTTATATGTAATCGCTACTCGACTGCCGTGTCAAACAACTCCGATTCTGTATTAGGTTAGTGGGCATACCATAAAATTTTTCCGTGTTCTTATTATACATACGCTGCCACTGCGGTATTGCCGACTCACTGAAGCTGAAATGAACCTCAGCCCTAAAAATTCCACATAAATATTACGC